AATAGACCTTCATGCGGACAGTCTCGCTGTATTTAAATCATGTTTACTCAATTATTATTTTACCTCTGTTGACATTACTTATAATCCTGAAAATCCGCGAACATTTAGATCTTTATGCCTGAAATGCAACTGTGTTCGTAGTTTAGCGTCTCCAATATCTTGCTGTTATTGAAAATTTCAGCACAGCTAGCTACATGGCAACTGCTCGTGCTATGCTTATATAGTCGGTAGCATGCATTGATTTGTTCAATTTCTTTTCAGCTAGTGCATGTTATTATCATAGCATGATCAGTTGCCGTAGCTAGCTAAATATATAGTTGTATAAATGCATGAAGTTAGTTGTTAGTTTTTTTGCTATTTGATGTTAACGTATTGTCCTTGGGTTCGCAGTAATTGGCTAATCGCTGTTGCGAATACCCTGCCATATAGTCTAGTTAATTCGTTAAATTATTACTTTGTAATAACTGTTAATACTATCTGGCAAAGTTAATAAATTAAAGTAATAGCACGAGGCAGGAAGTCGAATGAGCCATTGAACGCCAGCATGAAGAGCAGGAAGTCGAATAAGCCATTGAACGCCAATAAGATAATCACAAATAATCACATGCGTCCACGATTTGTTTCGATTGGTCAGAATTAAGAGTGGTCGCGTGGGAGACTAAGTCTTGCGCGAAAAAAAGAAACCGACCGAAACAGGTGGGAAATTTGTCTGCGCATGCGCTACATTTTGCGCGGTTTAAGAGAAAGAGACTTGGGGCGAGTAAATACAGTAATTTGATTTTTGAGCGTTTCATTTGCGCTTTTGTCTCGTTTATTCTGCTAACCAAAAAATTGTTAATCCATTGCATTGTTAAGAAGGAGAGGAAGGTATGAGAACGTCCACAGGCTAAAAATATTTATAAAATTGCAACTTTTGCGTAGCCTGATATATCGGAACTGCCTCGAATTCCGATGGAAATGTCCAATAATTCCTACTATTTCGTATTTTTAGATGAATGAATTATCTCCCAAAATAAAGTATATGTTTTAAGGAGTAGTTTAAACCATATTTGGTTTTGAGGCTCTCGACTAGATTTTAAAATATTTTAATTTTTTTTATTTCATTGTCCTAACCTTTACCCCCATAAATCACCCTGTATTAAATTGGAGAGAGACGGAAACGTATTCGCATGATTTCAAAACTGCTCATATTTTCTGAATCAATAGACTCTAGTCTTTCAAAGATTAGCAAAACACATGCAAACAGGATTAGCAAACACATGCAATTTCTAGCGGAATATTCAGAGGCACCTATTCAGACTACTACAGACTACATTAGACGGTTGTGCCGTTTTTTATATCAACCCGTATTTTCATATGAACAATACTTTGATTAGTGAATTAAGAAATCTTTGAAGAATCATTTAAAGATAGTCTCGTTTTAAGCCTCTCGACTACATATATAAGTTGAAAATTTAACTTTTTCCTATTTTTAGCAAAATCACGTGTTTTCAAGAATTTAATCATAAATAAACTTTCCAAAGATATTTCTGAGTAGAAAAATGCGTTAAAAACAAATTTTAAACCCACCCTGAGTTTATTTTTTTAATTTTATCTGTCCAGGGAGTGAAAACAACTTGCACCTTCGAAACTAGTTAAATTTCGTCAATATTTCGTCGTATAAATAAATAGTTCATAATTGTCCGATTTCAGTTTAAAGTATTTTATCCAGGACATTTTTCAATAAGACAATAGCCTTTGAATAAACGAACTTAAATTCTTGCACAACCACTGTTTTCTTCCCAAACGAGGAAACGTATTGATGCGAACAACTAACAAACGGACAAACAAACTCACAGGCAGAATATAATGCGGTGCCAAAAATGGCACGGGCACCGGAATCCACTGGCATACGGCCGAAAACGAGAAAACCAACAATTCCGAAGTTATCAAGCATCAAACGGACCGCATGTTTAATTAGTTTAATAATTTTGAGCGATTTGTCAACAATACAATTTCGCTTATTAAAACTGCACATTAAAACCGTCAAAATATAATACTTTTCGCCCCTTGTGAGGTAATCCGGAATCCGACTTTTTTTTCGTTTAGGAATCCGGAATCCGGAGTCTTGGAATCCGGAATCCAGACAGTGGAATCCGGAATCCAAATAACTGAGGAATCCGGAATCCAGAGCCCAGGTCGTTCTGGAATCCATTGTTTTATTAATTTAGAAAAAAAGCAGCATATTTGTTGTAATCATATTTGTTCGTATTTCACTGGACCCAATTTATTTTACCGTGAGAAAATTATCAAGAGCGACCCGCCCAACATGGCCTCCCGTGCAGTAAAGCAAAGTGTTGCTAGTAAGGGAAGTGGGGAGAAAGATAATGACAAAAGGCGCGAGGAAGTAATGTGAGAATTTGTAAGCGAAAACGGCAGGGATGTGAGACAAGAAAACGTTCCTTCAAAGAAGAAAAAGATTACAGGAACCCTTCAATATTCCTTGAGCATGAGACCAGCCGCCGTTACTGCCTCGGAAGAAGTGGAGGACATTGTGTAAGAATGCCAGACTGTCAATGCACCCAACAGTAATCGAGGCAATTCATGCAGCACAGGTTAGGGTTCTGTACCCAGGGATGACGTCGTCGTCATCAGCCACAATTTAAGGAGGGAACCTCCCCCGTACTGGTTAGCTATTCTTCTAGAGGACGTTTGCGTCGAAGCTGACAGTGGAATGTTCTTGAGAAACAATATGAGCATTCGATGGCTTAACCAAACAGAGGATCCACTCTGCAATTCAAAAATTGAAGCCGTAATTGCAGGCTCAGGATATTCCCATGAAATGAGAAGACTCATATGTTTTCTATTTCTTAAACAGGGAACTTAAACATTAAGTTAAACCTATTCCAAATACATTTTCAAACTGTTCAAATGATGAAAGTTATTGTTTTTTAAGCGTTTATTAGCGAGCGGGAAACTTCAACATGGCCGCCATCTATTCAAATGGGGGTAACCGCTGGAATATTCTTGGCTTCAATTTTACTTAAAGAGATGCGCTATCTAGTTTATATAATATATCTATGGGTGATACCTGTGACAAGAACTCCCCGAAGTGTATCATGGCCGACTCCCGCGGGATTTTGTTTCAACGCGAACAGTTTCTAGTGTCTCCGGAGGAAAACATTCAACTATCACGCATTGCTAACGGATATGAGGAAACTGGAGACGAGGAGCAATAGCATGTGGAAGAAGAGATGGAAGAAGAGATGGAAGAAGAAATGGGGAAAGTGTTACTTGCCGCACTTCCCCCAAGATTTCCGGGTGTCAGCCTGCCTGGAAGAACAACACGTTTCCTTCTCAGCTATAGTGATACATGTTTCTACAATTATTATTCATTTTATCCTTATGCATTACAGTATTTGAGGGATAGAAACATTTCCATGTTTGTGTAATCCAGTCTTTGAATTGATTGATTGATGATAGTTTTATTCAGACAGTATTTATTAATCCGATATTCAGGTTAGCGAACATGGCGTACGGGAAGGAAAAAATTAGGGGGGCGGAAAGAAATTTGCCCGACTTTTTCGGATTGTGCCCGCGGTGTCAAAAAAAATTTTCCAGAGAAACTTTCCAAAATTGTTGTTGACGGGGGGGGGGGGGGGGGAGTAATTACGAAAAATTCCTATCAGATAGCATATTTCCCACAAAACTGACAGAATTTCCCACAAAATTGACCGAATTTGTCCCATTTATTTTTATAATAAGCCAATATTGAGGGCCCCCTATACCTCTTCATAATATGCTTTCACGTAAAAATATTTTGCCTTTTCACGAGTCACGGATTAAGAAAATCATCGATCACGTTTCATGGCTAAGTAAAATAAGCCCTTCACGTTTCACGCAAAAATTATAGGGGGCCCGATCACGTTTCACGGCTAAGTAAAATAAGCCCTTCATGCTTCACGCAAAAAGTATAGGGGGCCCTCAATATTGCCCGACTGTGAAGCGAATATTGCCCACTGGCTTTGTTTGCCCAACAAACTGGGGGAGGGGGGGCTGCCGCC